AAAAATATAAAAAATTAAAATATTTATAAAAATTTGAAAAAGTTAGAAAAAAAACATTTTCGGTTTCGGTTTTAAAACTTTTTTTCCCTTTCGGTTTCGTTTCGGTTTTAAAACTTTCTTTTCGCTGCACCTCTAGTATTTATGGGAGGCTACCGCAGGGAAAACCTATGCTCCAAATAAAAAAATAAGAACGGAACAGCTCAGTGTGAAACTTTGGTAAACCACTTGGATGTTCCATGACACTACTGGAACAATGCTTCAAGGAAAGATGAGACAAAAGTTTAAAGGAGAACTATGAGGGGGGGGGAGTGGGGGGGGTGCTTTTCACTCATCTCATAGTTCTAGCCGACCTGTGACAATGAGACTGTCAAAGGTCGGCTCAGTAGATCGGGAGGTGAGCGAACACATACGAGTTCACTCACTTCTCGATCCTGTCATGGCTCTCTGCGGTGACAGGGGAGGGGCTGGATTCCCCTCTCCCCGCTCCGATCCGCCAGCACTGACTGGCGGAACGCACGGGGGAGGGGGCGGGTACAGCTGGCTCTGCCTCTAGATAGGCAGAGCCAGCTGTCAGTCACGCAGCTGGGCGGATCCCGGCACAATTGTCGGGATCCACTTCAGCTGCGGCGTCTCAGTATATGGAGAGCTGTAGCTCGCGGTATACTGAGCCTAGGGTGACGGGAGGATGCTAGTTTGTGTCCTCCCGTTACCCTAAGGAGAACTATGGGGAAAAGTGTTAACCCCATAGTTCTCCTTTAATGTTTGTTAAATTTGCCCAGCAATACTGAAATTTGTCACAACTGTGAAGCATGGTGAAGAGAATCAAATGCTCCAGGCCCACTTTATTACCTCAGAGCTCAGGCCTTACACTCAGTCAGTCCATTTAAAATTGTTTCATTAAAGTCGTATTAAACTCTCAAACTTTTTTTCAGTCATGAATCCAGATCAAACAAATATTGCTTTACACTTTTGCCCAAACACGTACAATCATCATGTTTCTGAACAGCTGCTTCCAGGTCTCTCAGCTCAGCTTCCCCGAGCTTCCTGTCTAGAATAAGATCACAAAGGACAGAGCATACTCCGGCAACTGTTCATCTACTAGCTTGGGGAAGGGAGGAGAGGGGGCCATGGGGGAGGGGAGTAGATTGATTTGCTGTGTCTGTGTTTGTAGAGACACACACAGCTTACTAGCACACACAACGGAGGCTGCATAACACTCTGCTTGAGAAAGGAGGCACTCTAAAACAGGAAGTCAGGCCAAGTGCTCCACTGCAAAAGCCCAACTGTATATTCACCTCTCCCTACACAACATTCACCAGCCTGCTGTACATATTGCAATAAAATCTGCCAGTGATTGACGGCTAATCCGGACAGGTGAATGATCCTGGATGATATCAGTACATTCAGTGTCAGCTCACAGCCAGCAGGGGGGCGATAATGAGAAATCTGTTTCTGGATCCTCGGACTGCTCTCATTATCAGTGTAATATGTATTATAGAGAGAAGGAGATCACTCACCACTAATATGATAGAAATCACCACTGCCACTGCTAGGACAACGATGAGACCCGTCCTCCCTCTGTATGAAATGTCATCTGTAAAAAAAAAAGTAAATTCAATGAGGGGATTTATCAAAAGTGGAACAGACAAAATCTGGAGCTGTTGCCCATAGTAACCAATCAGCTTCCTTCTGCAGTTTACTCAGTTAAGCTTTGAAAATGAAAGGTGGATGCTGATTGGTTGCCATGGGCAACTGTTCCAGATTCTATCTGCTCCAGTTGTGATAAATTCCCCTCTATGTAGACAAAATGGGGGGGATTTATCGAAACTGGAGCAGACAAAATCTGGAGCAGCTGCCCATGGCAACCAATCAGCTTCTCACTTTCAATTTGTTCAGTTAAGATTTGAAAATGAAAGAGAGAAGCCGATTGGTTGCTTTGCACAGCTGCTCCAGATTTTGTCTGCTCCCGTTTTGATGAATTCCCCTCATTGTATATGATTCACATGCACACATGAAAGATATACAATGTATCAGTTTGTATTCTCAAAGGTCATGTGATGTCTCCCAGGTAGGAATATCCCCATACCACTTTTTTAAGACCAACTACAAATGCTTGCCCTCGGTTATCGCCGATACCAATTACCGATACTTTTTCTTAAAGGGACATGTGACATTTTTTTTTTTAAAACAACACAGACTGATTATTTTAGGGCAGTTTCTCACCAGGGCTAAATACATGTCCTCACAGCAGAACACATGTCCCCAAAGCCAAACACATGTCCCTAAGGCTGAATAGTATTCTGCTTTGGGGACATGTATTCTGCTTTGGGGACATGTGTTCTGCGAACACATGTCCCCAAAGCAGAATTTCTCTCACCAGGCTGCGTGTCGATCTCACCCGGGCGATGTATCGGGACCCGGCCTCCCCCACGTGCAGAATGGCGATGCTGTCACGTCCTGCCGGGCGACTATCTGCGCTGCTGGGCCCCCCGACCTTCATCCATCCACCAGCCTAGTCCTCCCCGTCAGTGTGCAGCAGGAAACCCCAGCTTCTTGCCCTGGGGAGGTAGTTCTGCCCCAGGGGCTGTGTCTGCACCTGGAAGGAGGAGATAAAGAACCGGACAGGCACTGCCATGGACAGCTATCTGCAGGTCCCCAACAGGCTGCCGAAGTCCCCACAAGCGCGGGAACTCGGCCGGCCGGTGCTGTTTGGAAATTTAAAGGGCCGGTATCGGAAGCGGGGCATTTTCACGAGTACAAGTACTCTTGATAAGCCTGGTATCGGCCCCGACACTGATACTAGTATAGGTATCGGGACATCTCCCTACTCCCGATACTGACCCCCCAATATATAACACATACTGTAGATACATGTAATTACACGATAGCCTCCCCATAGTCAGTAATACCTTCTTTTTTCAGCAGTTTGCTGAATATGGAATCAGTGATGAAGTTGTAGTCCCGGGTCTCCTCACTGACCGGGTTTGTGATCCTGACCCGGAATGTCCTCTCGGTGTCGTCTCTCTGCACACTGGGGATAATCAGCGTCCTATTGTCATCTATCAGCCGGTATCTCTCAGGAAGAGGCTCCCCGTCCACCTCCCAGGTCACAGCGCTCTCTTCTCCAGAGTACTGGACGCTCACAGCGATGTCCTGACCCAGCCGGCTCCCATTACTGGTTATGTTGGAGATGAGAACCGGATCTGGAATTATCAGGAGGACAGTCACCATCAGTCATGTGTCACCAGCACAGAGCCCAGATACATGGAACAGATTATATACTAATACCAGGCAGCAAAAATAATGTGTAAAAAAAAAAAAAAATGCAAATCAAGTAAATAAATCATGAAACAATAGTCCGTATCCTAACATGCAATCTTAAATAGTAAATAAATCCAACATTGTGTACCACCCAGTACTCCAGGTGCACCCCCATCATCATTCATAATCTCCCCTCCATGGAATCAAACCCGCTTCCCAGTCATGGTGTTGATATAGTTTTATATTCCACTGACAAACCAGTAAGTGTGCAATGCTCAGAAAAGATCAAAGAGGCTCCTCATAATGTAATAGATTTAAATGAAATAAAAGGGTTAAACACCCCATTAGATTGAAGGCATCCACAAGGTTTAGGAGTGTGTCTATGGTAATGTTGGACCATTTGTGAGGTCGGGTACTGATGTTGGGGTAGAAGGCCGGGGTCGCAGTCTCCACTCTAATTCATCCCAAAGGTGCCCTGTACACATACAGCACAGCAATGAAGTCATAAAATGAACTAGGATCACAGTAATCCAGCACGTTATTATTCTGAGTTGCCCCACTCAAGCGGCGGCCATATTGAATGGGGCACATGAGATTAATAACGTGCTGGATTACCATGATCCTAGATCATTTTATGACTTCATTGCTGTGCTGTATGTGTATTGGGTAATGCCGCGGCTGGCGCTCGTGCAGAAGAACTTTCTGGGCAAACCTCTTAGTTCTAACGAAACCGGAAGTCAGGGGGTCACACCGGCATCGCTGTTTTGAACCGAACAGCGGCGTTTGTTCGATATGGCAACCTGCATCTGCAATCTCAATGTGACGGTAATTTCTGCACATGTTTGCTACCCTGTTTACCTTATTTCCTATGGTATGATTATTTGCTTCACATCTGGCAGTTATATATTACTAATTGGCAATAATACTTTAGTATCTTTTTCATTGAAAAACTGTGAATTGAAGTATGATTTTCAATGGTTTGTTTGTTATGTTTACAGCTGTTTGGCGGTTATTTGACGTCATAGGGACATCAGGGTGTGTGTTTAAGGGTGTCCTGCACTGCTATATGTCTATGTAAACCTTTTCTGTTCTTGCAATTGTGTCATTGCTATGCCTGATGAAGGGACCCTGCGTGGCCCTGAGAGCCAGGGCAGTCATCAGGGGGGTATGGCAGATACTCATGTAAGGGGCCCGGGCAGCCTGGGGGGCCCCGCCCGTGTCCCTTACATGACTATCGGCCGACGGTGAAGGGCGAGGAGGCGGATGCCTTGCCCTAGCAGCGCAGGGCCCCAGCATTGCCGCTCCATTGGCTTTGAGACAAGCTAGGACCCCATCAGCGACGCTGCTCATCTGATGTCGGACTGGCCGGACGTGACGTCACTTCTGGCCGGTCCGGCGGCAGACGAGGCCATGTGTGCAGGTAAAAAGAGCTAGGAAGGAAGGAAAGGAGGGAAAGGAGGGAAAGGAGGGAAAGGAGGGAGGGATGCAGCCCTGACCAGCCAACCTGAGACCCCTTCAGAGCCCACCATAGACAGTCTCAGATGGGCTGTGCAGCATCTATGGTGGGCTCTGCAGGGTCACTCTCAGGTGGGTCCTGTGTCCAGCGCGTCACTAAGCCCTGCATCCAGCGTGTCACGAAGCCCCGCGTCCAGCGGCGCGCGGGGGCCCGGCCTAAAGCCGTGTAAGGGGCCCTAAAATTTCTGATGGCTGCCCTGCTGAGAGCGCTTGCATAACTGACATGAGTTGGCAATAAATCTACGATTTTGGATCTTATAAGGATTACGGAGTGCTGGTGACGTTTCTGCAAGTATCTTATTCACACCCAACCACTAAATTGCCCCTGGCAGGTTCTTTATCAGGTAAGGGTGGACATCCACAGACTTCTCGATCACACCACAGCAGGGGTCAAGACATCTCTATACTCTAGGATCCGCGCTGTCTGCAAAATATTTGTCCTTTGCGTAGATCAGATGAATTAAGTTTCATCTCCCTAGGACTGATTTGTTGGATTTTATTAGGGATGAAACATAGTTCCTCTGATCTACGAGAAGGACAAACATTTTGCACACAGCACAGTGCCTAGCTACCCACAAAAGCACAAGGAGAACATGCACACCCCATGCAGTTAGTGTCCTGGCCAGGGTTTGAACTGAGGACCCCAGTGCTACAAAGCAGACATTCTGACCAATGAGCTACTGTGCTTCACAATTGAAAAAGATGTCAAACATATGGAAGGCAAAAAAAGTTTATCTCCCACAGAGAAGTGTGATGTTGTGTGGTGCAGTATACGGCCTCTTACCCAGCACACGGATGTCTGTAGAGGACATTAGATATCCCGGATCACAGTAACACCAGATCTTATACACACAGGAATCATCCTTCCTGGCCGGTGTCAGCTTCCAGCAGCCGCTCCTTGTGTCCAGGTGAAGTATGGGGTCATGTGATTTAGTTTTGTTGTAATAACAGTGACGTTCCAGCAATGTCTTCTCCTTCCCTCCACATTGTCTGTACAGCTCCAGAGTAACTTCTTCATCAGGTCCAGAACACGTCATATTACATCCCGTGATGTCCGCTCCGCTCCGTACATACACCGGTCCGAATGACACGGATGTGATCAGGAGACACAGGAGACCTGGGAGAGGAGACACATCAGAAATGTGGACAGAACTTTCATAGCGACAACAAATTCCAACCACAAGTTCCAGTGTAATGAACAAAAGAAGAAGAAAAATAGACATAACAAAGAGCTCAGATAAGAGCGGAGAGGAGTTAAAACCAAACTAACAAAGAATCTGACTTTGGAACATTTACTGGTACCAGTGCCCACTTACTGGTACCAGTGGCCGGATTTACTCTCCCTGCCGCCCCAAGGCCTTTCTTATTATTTTTTACTTTTTAATCACCTATTTATTTATTTTTAATTATTTCATATTATTTTGTTTTTATTTTTATTTTATTTTTTATCAATGTCATTTTTTTTCACTTAACTTTATTGCTATCACACAGGAGAACACAATCCCCTGTGTGATAGCAATCGGAGGTGACAGGTTCTCTTTATTGACCCTGTCACCTCCAATACAGGTTCTTGCACA